ATGGACATTTGATCGAAAAGTCATTTGATCGAAAAGTCATTTGATCGAATGGACATTTGATCGAATAGACAGTTGATCGAATAGACAGTTGATTGAAAAGACATTGAATCGAATCGACATTTGATCGAAAAGTCATTTGATCGAATAGGCATTAGATCGAAAAGTCATTTGATCGAATAGGCATTTGATCAAAAAGTCATTTGATCGAATGGACATTTGATCGAAAAGACATTTGATCGAATAGACATTTGATCGAATAGGCATTTGATCGAAAAGTCATTTGATCGAATGGACATTTGATCGAAAAGACATTTGATCGAATAGACATTTGATCGAAAAGTCATTCGATCGAAGAGACATTTGATCGAATAGGCATTTGATCGAAAAGTCATTTGATCGAATGGACATTTGATCGAAAAGACATTTGATCGAATAGACATTTGATCGAAAAGTCATTCGATCGAAGAGACATTTGATCGAAACGACATTTGATCGAATGGACATTTGATCGAAAAGTCATTTGATCGAAAAGTCATTTGATCGAATGGACATTTGATCGAAAAGACATTCGATCGAATAGACATTTGATCGAAACGACATTTGATCGAATAGACAGTTGATCGAATAGACAGTTGATCGAAAAGACATTGAATCGAATCGACATTTGATCGAAAAGTCATTTGATCGAATAGGCATTTGATCGAAAAGTCATTTGATCGAATGGACATTTGATCGAAAAGACATTTGATCGAATAGACATTTGATCGAAAAGTCATTCGATCGAAGAGACATTTGATCGAAACGACATTTGATCGAATGGACATTTGATCGAAAAGTCATTTGATCGAAAAGTCATTTGATCGAAACGACATTTGATCGAATAGACAGTTGATCGAATAGACAGTTGATCGAAAAGACATTGAATCGAATCGACATTTGATCGAAAAGTCATTTGATCGAATGGACATTTGATCGAATGGACAATTGATCGAAAAGTCATTTGATCGAATAGACATTTGATCGAAAAGTCATTTGATCGAATAGACATTTGATCGAAAAGTCATGTGATCGAAAAGTCATTTGATCGAATGGACATTTGATCGAATAGACATTTGATCGAAAAGTCATTTGATCGAATAGACATTTGATCGAACAGACATTTGATCGAAAAGTCATTTGATCGAATGGACATTTGATCGAAAAGTCATTTGATCGAAAAGTCATTTGATCGAATGGACATTTGATCGAATGGACATTTGATCGAATGGACATTTGATCGAAAAGTCATTTGATCGAAAAGTCATTTGATCGAATGGACATTTGATCGAATAGACATTTGATCGAAAAGTCATTTGATCGAAAAGACATTTGATCGAACAGACATTTGATCGAAAAGTCATTTGATCGAATGGACATTTGATCGAAAAGTCATTTGATCGAAAAGTCATTTGATCGAATGGACATTTGATCGAATGGACATTTGATCGAAAAGACATTTGATCAAAAAATCATGCGATCGAATAGACATTTGATCGAAACGACATTTGATCGAATAGACAGTTGATCGAATAGACAGTTGATCGAAAAGACATTGAATCGAATCGACATTTGATCGAAAAGTCATTTGATCGAATGGACATTTGCTCGAAAAGTCATTTGATCGAATAGACATTTGCTCGAATGGACATTTGATCGAAAAGACATTTGATCGAATAGACATTTGATCGAAAAGTCATTTGATCGAAAAGTCATTTGATCGAATGGACATTTGATCGAAAAGTCATTTGATCGAATGGACATTTGCTCGAAAAGTCATTTGATCGAAAAGACATTTGATCGAACAGACATTTGATCGAAAAGTCATTTGATCGAATGGACATTTGCTCGAAAAGTCATTTGATCGAATAGACATTTGCTCGAAATGACATTGAATCGAATCGACATTTGATCGAAAAGTCATTTGATCGAATCTTTTTTGGCATAAGAGTTTCCCTTCTTTATTCTACATATATTCATAGCTTGAAATACCGTGGAAGTCACCCCACTGACACGAGCAGTTGAAAAGTAAGCTAAACGTGACTGGGACCACTAGGGGCGCTAGTAGAAGATGAGGCCTAGGTACATGAATGTGATTGGTTGTTTAAAATTTCTATGATTATGGACAACTTAAATAACCAATCACATTCATGTCCAAGGCCTCATTTTCTACTAGCGCCCCTAGTGGTCGTCAGTCACGTTTAGCTTACTTTTCAACTGCTCGTGTCAGTGGGGTGACTTCCACGGTATTTCAAGCTATGAATATATGTAGAATAAAGAAGGGAAACTCTTATGCCAAAAAAGATTCGATCAAATGACTTTTCGATCAAATGTCTTTTCGATCAACTGTTTATTCGATCAACTGTCTATTCGATCAAATGTATGTTTGATCAAATGTCATTTCGAGAAAATGTCCATTCGATCAAATGTCTTTTCGAGCAAATGTCTATTCGATCGAATGTCATTTCGAGAAAATGTCCATTCGATCGAATGTCTTTTCGATCAAATGTCTTTTCGATCAAATGACGTTTCGATCAAATGTCTATTCGATCGAATGACTTTTCGATCAAATGTGTATTCGATCAAATGTCTATTTGATCATATGTCCATTCGATCAAATGCCGTTCGATCAAATGTCGATTTGATCAATTGTCGATTTGATCAATTGTCTTTTGGGAAGAATTCCTGCGCCTCGTTGAGAAGTGTAAAAAAAAATAAAATTTTTATGGTTACTGTTAAAAAAATTTATAATTGACAATAAAAAATTGTTTAAACAATTTAATAATTTATGAAATTAATACTGAATGTTTATATGTTAATTACCCATTATATTTCGGGTAAAAAACTAGAAGAAATATACTATATATATTGTTTATTTAATAAAAGTGAAATTATATAAAATTTTGTACTTCAGGAATACTAAAATATGATTTCTACTGTACAGTAGAACCACGATTATCCGAGGTAATGTGGAAAAGAGGTGCCTCAAATGACACGAAAAAATGAAAATTTCAAAAATTTTTATTATTTTTATGTGTTTAAAGTATTAGAATAATATTCAACGATAAAAACAGACGAAATTTTAAATGCAATGAACATAAACAGTGATTTCCTGAAATTTTTTTTCCAAACTTGGTCTCTCCATTCGTTTTATCCTAGTTATTATTATAAAAATGTCATAGAAAATCAGTAATTTTTCGTATATAATTATACGCACCATTATGTATATCAACCTAAAAAGAACAATTAAACATTTTTTTATAATTTGCAGTAGCATTAGCAGGATTTTATCGAGCCGTAATAGCTCTAACTATCCTTGCCCCGTGAGCCCATATTTCAGTTTTTTCTAAATTTTAAGGAACGACGTGAATTAATTTGAAAATAAATACGATATTCGTGTTCAGCAGGAAATTCCACTCCGGAAAGCACTTACGTAAATAAATATTTGGAAGCACTAATATACAAAACAATACAATAAACTTTACGTCAACATTTTAGCAGAACAGACTTTTTTCAAAAATAAATTCCTAACTTCGCAAATGGTGGTGACAGATTGACTTCAAATTTTTACTATCATCTTTTGGTGTTAAAACGCGAATATACCATTAATTACGCGATTTTTGAGCAAGCCGTCTAAGCATAACAGCAACTAACTGAATTTTTGCAAACAATTTTACTACTTACCAAAAAAATTGAATTGTATTAAAATTTTTAAAAATATAAACTAATAATTATTTATGTACATAATAAGTGGATTTTTTAAATTTTGATTATCAAATTTAAAAAATTTATGTTTGAAAATAAAAAATTTCATAATTTGCATAATAATAATAAATAGAATACATCACGTTCCGCGCGCGTAGCATTTGCTAGTTTTAGATAATATGTAATTGAAATTTGAAAATCTTAATTCCTATAGAAAAATAATAATGATGAAATATTTAGTTAAAAAATAGAAGTTATTGATGTTTTCGAAAAATTTTACAGTTAAAGAAATTCGTAAATTAATGTAACAGAACATTTTTTTAGTATCTAATAATTTTTAGAGTGAATCAGAATATTCTTTAGGGCCAGGAAAAAAGTCAAAATTTTGTCTAGAAATCAGGCGAAAACAAAATTAAATTTTTGTGGCAACCCTGATGAGGCTGAAGTCTACATAACGTTTTTAAAAACAAAAAATCAAGAAAGAATTTTTTTTCAAAAAAAAAAATTTAATTTTTAATTAAAAATTAAAAAAAAAATTAAATTAAATTAAATTAAAAATTAAAAATTCATCTCTACTTTTCAGTGCGTTTTTAAGACATACCTAATTTATCAATTATTACTTAAAAGTTATTTGCTCAAAAATAACGTAAATTCGAAGCCAAAATAAAATAAATCGTCGCATTATTTTTTGGTCATCGTTTTTAAAAACGTTGCTGACTTTAGTCTCATATCAATAATTAAGAAATGTTAAAATAATCAAAGTTTCGAACGTTCGAAAGAAGGACGATATTTTATGAACAAAAAGTTTTGAACGTTTAAATGAACGAAATATTTTTTGTTAAAAATATTTTCATAGATTATTGATTACAATTCAAATTAAAAACTCAAATTTTACATTTAGAAATATTATAATTAATTTGCTTAATAGTGACGCAAAATTATAGTAATAAAAATTTAATTTGAAGAAGAAATAAATAAATTTCGTTCATTTGAACGTTCAAAACTTTAACCTCCTGATATTTTTCTAACTTCATTTAATAATTTGTATTCTATGAAAAAAATAATTTTGTGTGTAAAAAAATGAATTCTTATCTAAGTAAAATGTGAAATCCAACGAATTAAATACAGTAGCTAAATATTTTTCGCCGTGTAGAACTTGAGAAAAATAATTGTTTTAAAATTCATGTCAGTGAATAAATGATTAATTCTTGAAAAATAATATTAAAATAAATGAATGATTAAAAATTGATAAATTTTAGGTACAATTATGCAAAGAAAAATGTCGAGCTCCTCCACCTTTAGTTCCATTACCAGCAACACTGCCAATAGAAAGTACAACTCCTTTAATTAACGCACCCGAACTATTGCAATTGAATAATTCAAGGGACCCACTGCCAGAATTGCCGTGCGAAGTGCAAATTAAAGAAGAACCAATAGACACATTAATTCGAGCTGATTCTGATCTCTTAGGCCTGAATAAAAGAAGTTTACTAATCTCAGGAATAGGAAAGAGAGCGAATGCTTTTGCAAATGACTATGGAAATGCATTTGAGAATAATGGAGAATCAAATTTTGATGAAAGTGATAAACCACGAACAAGTATACTGGAGCAAGTACTCAAAGGCAATATAACTTTAAGCGATCGTAAAGATCAGAAATCAAAAACTGGACTTAGCTCTAAATGGTGGTGTGCCCCTTGTAATAATTATTATAGGTATCTTATTTTTTATTATTATTATTATTATTTATTAAATTTTCATTCTTTGAATAAAATTAATCAACTTTTTTGTAATTTAGAACAAAGGAGGGTTTGATAAAGCACATGCAAGTGTTCTGCCCGCGAAGGTACACGTGCAGAAAGTGTTCTCGTGTCTTTTATACTGTGGAGGATTTAGCAAAACATGATGGCACCGATCATTTGAAAGTCACTCTGGATTTTGACGAAGTAGTTACCAAATGCCATCAATGCGATCGTGAATTCGTTAGTTGGGAAATGCTCAGGCATCACAGACTTCGTGATCATGTAGCCGAAGATATTGATATCGGAACAAGTACTTGGTGTCCATCTTGCAATAGGTAATTGTTTATTAATATTATCAAACTGAAGTAACCAACCTTTTTGTTGACGCAAAAAGAGAAAACCATTTTTTAACACTAAGAAGCAAATAATAATTCTCACCTTTTCCCCCTTTTTCACCTTTTCATATTAAAAAATAAACAAGTTTTTCTTTTTTTTGAAATCTTTTTCAAAGTGTAATAATAAAATTGTTATAGAATTCAGTGCGTTTTATTTTTGATTTAGTTTATTAACACCACAACATACTATAAATATATTTTTTTATGTTAATGATTTAAAAAATATAGATAATTTAAAGAATTTTATAAATTATAAGGTGGTTCATTCAACAGAATGCAGACCTCTAGAAAAATATTTAATTAACAAAAATATCAATTTTTCAGAATAAAATTGACAATCAAAATATTCTTGACAAAATTTCAATTATTTTCAAAAATTTTCTTTAATTCAGTGATTTTCAATATCTACTATACTTTAATAAAACTTTCCAATTGAGAATTCAATTACTTAAAAAAATGTTAATAAAATTCTACGCAAACATTTAATTATTGTCACAAATAATACAAATTTTACAGGAATTCTATTATTTACAATTTTTTTTATAAATTTCATCGCAATAATTCAATTATTTGCATAAATAATAAAAATCATCGCTGAATTTCAATTATTATTTTCATAATTCAATTTTAATCGAATTAATTGTAAACAAGTGGATTTGAAAATTTTCAAAGAACTTTTTCAAAAATTATTAAGAATAATTGATTTAAAGAAGAATTATAGTTAAAAATTCTATAATATAATAATTGAATTGAAATAATGAAAATAATTTTGAAGAAGTTACAGTAAAAATATTATTATAGTACAAAATAATATGAAAACATAATAATGATTAAATTAAATATTTATTTTAAATAAAACTATTGATATTTTCAAATAATTTTAGAATTAAAGAAATTCTTAAATAAATGTTATTTTTTATCAAAGAATCCAAAACTGTAAGAAATTTGAGTATTGACACCTACATAGTTAATATAACTTTTAACACATTTTAATTTATTGTTTGATATATCCCCTTTTTGAAAAAAATGCCTTTTTTCACCTTTTTTGAGGATAAAAGGTACTGTGATGCTTGTCATTAAATCCTAAACTGGTTTTCAATCCAATCGGAGCGTGGAAGACAATAGTTACTTTAAAATTTCAGCTTTTTTTATTTCATTTCGTCGACAAAAACGTTAGTAACTTCAATTTTATTTAATATTCTATTAATTTCATTTATTACCTATACAGGTCAAAGTTTCAACAAATTCATATTGAATAAAATGTTACAACGGATTTTTATAGGATTTCTTAAGTAGAATCCGAATTTGACCTTACAATTATGAGATCGGCTCTATTTATCTAGTAATTTCGATTTAAATGTGCCAAAAGTCACGTTTTTGGTATTTTTTGAAAATGTCTAAATGAAGAAGAGGGCTTTTCGCCCCAAAATAAAATACATTGAGCAGCAGAAATCTTAACTATTTTTAACTGCTTTTGTGTGTTTCGTCTCATAGTCTTTAAAAATATTGAATAAAATAATTTAACTTTGAGAATTTGAAAATTAATTTATTTAAAATAATTTAATGCTTAAAAAACTGTCGAAAAATTGTTATTTATAAATTATTTTGCGAATAATTTCATTTAAAAATTCAAAAAATAATTAAATTTTTTAAAAGTTGCGCTTTTAATTTTTATAATTATCTAATATAAATAACTAGCATCAGTTACTCGCGAAACATAGAATGTAATTTTTTATTATTATTATTTATAAAATTTTTTATTATTCAAATATCAACTTCAATTTTTGAATAATTTCAGATTCAAAATTTAATAAAATTCTTCGCACGAGGTTCAATTATTTTCAATATAATTTTAATAAAATTTCTCGATAGAAATCAGTTGTTTTTAATAAATTTGAATACAATTCTTTATAGGAATTGAATTATTTTAAATACAATTTTAAGTAAATTCGTCGAGAAATTATTCTCAATGAAATTTCAATTAAATTTCTGGAAAGAATATTTTTACTTTCACAAAATTACTAGAAAATTCTTTAAAACAATTCAATTATTTTCAAAAAATTTAATTAAATTAAAGAATTTCTATTTGGCCTTAGAAATATGTCCATGGAAGAATAGAAAAAAAAATTTTTTTTATAAAAGTTATTGCAAAATGAATTTTTTTGCAACTTTTTAAATAAAATTTTATTTCTCCTAAATGAATGAACCGATTTAAATGAACCAAGCGGGAATACAAAGAAGATAAAATATACTTTCGTTTAGAATTAGAAAATTTTTAAAAAGTTCATTTTTTAATAATTATTTAATAAATTGTTTACAACCATTTTTTTAATGTTCTGCGCCTTTTAAAAATTTGAAAAAATCTCAACATACAATTAAAACTATAAGAAATCAAAATCCATTGAGAAAATTTATGAGCAACAATTATTTTAAAATATTAAAGGAGAAAGAAGCTATCAATTATCCGAATGAATTTTACAAATAAATTAAATATCTTAAATAAATCTCGATAAGCTCATGGGTTTCATATGTATCGACAGCACAGCCGTCCTAATACAGAAACCTGCTTAATCTGAAAAATATTTTCGAAATTAAATAATAATTTCAAAATTATCAAAGAACTCAGAAAAAACGGTAGCATGGTGGGATACGAGCCCACGACCTTTCTATTGATAATTTTCTATTTCTATTTTATTTCTATTATTTTCCTTTTCTATTGGATAATTGATAGCTTCTTTCTCCTTTAATATTTAACTGCCGAATGATAAATTCACTTTCTATAATTATTTTAAAAGTTATAATGAAAATTATATTGCGCGGAGATGCGATTTTGATGCTTTTCAGAATTATAACATTATTTTCAACTACGAAATGAACAAAACAGTGTTGAATTAACCTTTGCATTTAATTATTTAGTCATAAAAATGATCAAAACCTAAGTGTAGCGCCGGTGCACTACACCGGGACAATTTAATTTTCATTATAACTTTTAAAATAATTGTCGCTCATAAATTTTTTCAGCGGATTTTGATTCCTTACAGTTTTAATTGTATGTTGAGATTATTTTCAAATTTTTAAAAGGCGCAGAACATTAAAAAAAATGGTTATAAAAAATTTATTAAATAATTATTAAAAATTTTCTAATTCTAAACGAAAGTATATTTTACCCCCTTTATATTTCCCCTTGGTTCATTTAAATCGGTTCATTCATTTAGGAGAAATAAAATTTTGTTTAAAAAGTTGGGAAAAAATTCACTTTGCAATAACTTTTATAAAAATAGTATATTACGATACTAGGCCAGAAAGTTGGATTTCCTGGCCGGCGTGATATATAAGGCCGAGGCTTTATATATCACGCTCGCTAGGGTATCCAAATTTCTGGCCGTGTGTCGTATACAATTTTTCTGTATCCCCAGCCGAAAGTACGTTAAATAATTATTGTTTGAATAATAAAATAGCTCAATAAGAAATTTTCTTTTACAAATATATATTTAATAATTAAAAAATAATAAAAGAAAATAAGAAATTTCATGCATTATTTTGATGACTGTCAGTTGTTTTCAAAACGTGAGCTCTGTAAGTAACGTGTCTGTGTGGTTGCTATGCTAACATGTACGTGTGTTGAAATTCTTGTAACCAATCAGAGCGCTCGTTGGGTCTGTCGAGCCGGCCACAAAAGTCGCTATTTCCGGAGCCAAATCAGACCGGGAAGACAGTACTTTCGGCAAAGGGATACAGAAAAAATTTTTTTTTCTATTCTTCCGTGGACATATTTCTAAGGCCAAATAGAAATGTTTTTTCAACATTTCGGTTTAAAAAAAACTTTATTTTTCGTGAAAATTTCACGAATTCTACAATAATTTATAATTTTACATAATATTATATTATAAAATAATTTTATAATATTACATTTAGGTCTAAAACATTTTTTTTAAATTAGTTGTATTATTGAATATAATATTTAATTGGAAAATTTTCAAATTATTACAATTTCATATGAGCAAGAGTAAATCGCAGGTCATGATTAATTAATTTAAAAAGAAATAAACTGGTAAAACGTATTTATTAGAACGAGTAATTAAAAGATATACTCGATTTGTGTGCTGCTTGCAAAGGACAAAAAAGATATGATGTAGAAATAAAAAACGGTAGAATATATTCACACGAATATATAAACAGATCAGCACAAAAGTTTAAAAAGTGAACCCGCTTATTGTATAGTATATTAAGCAACAAGAGGATAAAGGCAGCCATTTCTTTACGGTGATTTTTGTGACACGAGTGGAGGTCGAGGGCGCCCCGAGACCGTAACGAGTGACACAAAAATCATCGTAAATAAATTGGCAGCCTTTAAGTCCCGTGTTACTTACGATATTTTTTATTCCTAATGCACAAAAGTGGCGATTTCAGATAGCATTCACTTGTTCAACTTGTATGAAAATGGCGGCCGTTTTCTCCCTTGGGCAAGAAAAATGCATGTGAACAGCTAATTTTCTTGCCCTTGGAAGAACACGGCCGCCATTTTCATACGGTCGAAGAAATGAATGACTTTCCTCCCTGTCGTCTGCTATCAGAAAGCGCCGTTTTTGTGCATGTGGGATAAAAAAATATTTTTGATTTCCAACATTTCATGAAATTGAATTACAAACGAGTGTATTTCAAAAATATTTTTGGCCAACTTTTTTCTTCTTTAAAAAAATATCTGAATTCTTAAAGAACTTTCTCAAAAATTATTAAAAATAGTTCGAATTAGAGAAGAATTTTAGTTGAAAATTCTAGAAAATAATTGAGTTGAAATCCTGAAAATAATTTTGGATAGGTTAGGTACAGTAGCAATTTTGATAAATTATTGAATGTCAAAGAATTTGAAATTTGAAATTTTTGAAAATCTTAATTCCTATATGAAAAAATAATAATGATGAAATATTTATTTAAAAATGAAGTTATTTATTGATATTGTGCTGTTATTTTGTTTGGATTTATAATTTTAGCGTGATATATTGTTTTATAAAAATCCATAATTTTAATTATTTAAAATATTTTATTTATGAGCTTTCGCCCGTCGACGACAGGCATTATTAATTGATGTTTTCGAATAATTTTATAATTATAGAAATTCGTTAATAAATGTTATACCTAGAACATTTTTTTGTGTATCTAATTGTTTTTAGAGTGAATTAATTTATTCTTTAGGGTCAGTGAAACAGTCAAAGTAAAATAAAATGAAATTTTTGTGGCAACTCTGAAGAAGCTGATGAAGTTCACAATATTTATAATCAACGATTTAGAAGAAAATTTTTTTTTTCAACTTTTGTGTAAAAATCTTTTGCATAATTTTTAATCAATAATTTTAAAAAAAAAGTTTGTACCTAAACAAAGAATTTTATAATTTTCGTCAATTTTTCTAATTTTAAGATGAATTGTTCACCTATAAAAATTGCTCTCCTTCATTTGTCATTTTTTAAAGATGTTCAAAAAATTCCAAAACGCAATTTTTAACACACCTGCATTAAAATTGCTCGAAAAGTAAAGACAAAAGAATTTTTAAGATCAGATTCGGATTTTACGTAAAAAATACTGTAAGAATTGGTTGTAACATTTGAGGCTAAAAATTTTGTAGGCTAGTGTTTTTTTGTATCTTTAGAGGATGTCGAAGTCGATGCGATTTTTCCAATACAGTTTTTAATCTAATTTTAACATTTTGACTTTAACTTTTAACTTAAGTTAAGTTTATTTGTTAAATTAACTTGAACTAAACATTTCATCCTTAAAGTTTTAAACTGACTTTTTAATTCTAATGCGAGTTTTGAATTTCAGATTTTTCCCTTCAATGGAAACATACCAAAACCATATGCAGTTACATCAATTGGACACTATGACCAGGTTACCAATAAGTTCCTTACCTTCAGTTTCGCAGGAAAATCATACTCGAGAGCTTAGGAAAGAAAACTTGAACGACAGCGTTAAATCATTATCTTGTCCCACATGCGGCAAAGTAAGAATTTTGAGTCAGCAAAAGTTACTTTTTTCTAATTTTAAGAGGAAAAATTTTTTTTAGCCCAAACTGTATTTTCCTTTTAATTGCAAAATTAATGAAATTTTTTTTATTGAAGTCGTCTGTTTTAAGTGGCGGATGTAAAATTCGCTTTTTTTACCGTATAGAGAAAAATGAGTTGAGAACATTTATTATTTATTTAATTTATTTTACATAAAATGAAATGCCTAACTGAAAACTTTCTTTAAATACTCAGATTTGTACGCAGCAGAGCGCATTGTCAAATCATATGCGAACGCACGAGCCAAAGAAACATCAATGCGATATTTGCGGTCGATTTTTCGGTCTTTACATAAGACTTGCAACGCACAAGATGACTGAACATAATCAGGGAATGATGCCAGTCATGACAAGTATCGAACAAGAGGAAGCTTTAAATGCCGAGAGAGAAGCAAGGGAAGCAAGAGAAGCTAGATCACGTGGCAAAACAAGATCGTACGATGAGGTATCCTTCATTTTTTACTCTAATGTATTTAGATACATTTTTGTCTAAAATTACAGGCCTGGTACAGTATGACTTTTTCGACTATTTTTAAAAAAATGCAACTTTTTTTACTTTTCTTCCCCATATTGCAAAAAAATATCATATTTAACTATAGTTAAATCTTTTCCTGTAAAGAGTCTTACTTTATTTTTTTGCAAGTAATTTAGCGCATAAAACAAACTTGTTTTCAATGTAAAACAAATAATTGTCAAATTACAATTGGATTTAATTTAGAACCACTTCTTTTCACAGAGTTACAAAGTCAAATTATTATTCATTAAAAAAAATTTCTAGAAATCAGAAGAAAGTCAGAAAAATATAAAATAATATTTTTCTGACAACTTTAAATCGACTTTCTTTGCGTCTCAAAGTCGATCCAAGGCCTGGAATTCTGAAATGCTGCAAATGGAAGAAATCTTTACAATTTTTCTGTTTTAGTTATAAGTAAAGTGAAATTTTCAATATGACTTTTAACTTGTTAATTTCTTTGAACATAATTCAAGCTGAACAAGTTTTTAGATTTATCTACAAACAGTTATAACTTTCCGTAAAATTGAAATTGTTTATTTAAAATAAATCAACAAAATTAATTTTGTTTCGTGTCGACTCTAAACTAAATTAATAAATTGAATCTAGTTTCGTGTCGATTCGAGAAACTTAATTATATTAGTTTTTAAAGATGTTTAACTTTTTTGGATTGTTCTAATATAGTAAAAGATGTTATTTGTTTTTTAAAAAATCAATCCACATTTATTCAAACGATTATTTATGTCAAATGTGAAGCTTTTCGTCCATCGAAAAGCCAATCGTCCATCGTTTGAATAAATGTGGATTGATTTTTTAGAAAACAAATAACATCTTTTACTTAATTATATTAGTTTCAATTAAAAAACGACGCATCGGTCTTTTGAATTTAAATTAGTTGTTATAATAACAAAGCAAAAAACGGAAATTTGTCATTAAAATAGAAATGTTTACTGCAATTTGTTCTTTGAAATTAATAAAATAGTTAATTAAAAGTTTAAATTTCTCATCGATGTTTGGATCGAATTTTACATAATTTTAGATTATTACCATACATTATTACAATACAATGTAACAATGAATGTTTTTTTGAATTCTGAACATTTAATGTATCAATAACTTTTCAATTTTAGGACCTGTAAAATTAAAAATTAGATCATTCGATACGTTTTTAAAGTGCCTATTGAATGAATATAAAATATCTGTTTGAGCGAAATGACAAAATATTTTGATTCAACATAATTCTGTGGAAGAAAAGCATAACAGCATAACTGCATTTGTCATGATTTCGAGATAAATTAATTTTAATGTTCTCTCACTTCTGTCAGTTCAGAAAATCAACAGATTTGTTCGGTCTTTTGCATTTAGTATTATTATTTAATATATTTTCGAAATTCTTTTATAACATTTAATAAAACACTATTAATTCGTTAGAAAAAATTATGAGTTTATTTAGTTATAAAATTTATTTTTTTATAAAATGTTTTTAATTTATTGAAACGAGAAAAAAATTTACTTTACTGTTCAACTTGAAGAATTTTTCAATTTATTTTTTGAAATACTTTCGAAAATTTTTTAGAATAGAAATACCCTTAAAAATTAGTACATAATTAAATGCACAATTTATGCTATAAAAAATTTGTTCCAGTTTTATTAAAATAAATATATTTAATTTAAAGTACGAAAAATGTATTTTACTAAAAACATTTTATTACAAAATTCTTATTGTTTTTATTCATAAAGGCTATTTTCATTTTTAATTATGTCAATTGTTTTTTAAACTGAATGCAGTTATGTTATTATGCTGGTCTCCTTTTGTCAAAAATGCAATTATGCGATTATGTTTTCCATTATTTTCTTCATTAATAACCATTTTAATGGTTTTTCAGCTATTGAACTTTGAAGAGCAATATTAAATATATACAAATCTGATGTTATCTCAAATTTGATAAAAATGTCAGTTATGCTGTTATGCCTTTCTTCCACAGAATTAATCTTTTAAAATTGTTTAAAATTAATTTTTATTGTGTTTTTGTTTTCAAATAAAGTAAAATTGAAAAATTGTAATCTACCGATTTAATATAACAGAATAAATTTAAAAAAGGTTTGAATCTATTTCTAATTTGTAATATTTTTGTTTTTGAGTTTGCAATAAGATTAAATTTCTATATTTTGCAAGAGTAAAGGGAATCGACATTTAAATGTTTGCTTTTTTATTTCACAGATGGTCGAAGAAGATGACTATTCAGTTAATGACACACCTGTCAAGCGGAAAATTGTTCTTAATTCTAGTTCGATTAAAAATGCTGTACGTTGTGGTATTTGCTTGCAATGGTTTAATAACCGCACAGAAATGATTGCTCACTTGCAAACGCACTCTGATTCATTTAAACCAAAAAGCTTTTGTTGTAAAGTGTGTACAAAGTCTTTTAAAGAAAAATGGCAATTAACTAGGCATGAAGTAAGACTGTTGTTTTAAATTATTATTTTTATTTTTGTAGGTCGTCCATAAACTACGTAGCACCTCAAGGGGCTTTGACTTGCAGAAAAAATTACGCAATATACAATGAGCCATTCTACACAAAGAGGACAACCCAAAACTTCTAATAGAAGAAATTTTATTTTTAAATTACTGTAAATTGCTAGTAAATTTCGATTGGGGTACAAAAGTTCAAAAAAAAGTTCCAGTCCAAAAGTTCCAAGAGATTAGCTCCAAGGTTAGTTTATTCCAAAAATATAAAGTTTCCAAAAAATAAGTTCCAATGTAAATTAAATAAATGTGCCAAAAAGATGAAAATTCTTTAAAAATGTAAGTTGTGACCAATTGCTTTTAAGTACTCAAGAATTTCATCATTTTGAATGTATTCTCCATAGCTTGAGACTATATTAAATATTCTGTCTTCAATACGTTGTTGTTGATTTGTTCTATTTTTTTTAACTCACCTCTTTCTTTAACTTCATCTCCAATATATAACCTTAGCTTCCGAATGTTTACACGGAGAGAAAAAAAAGTAAACGGCTCTACCTGTCGGTAGAGCGGTTGCGTTAAATGCGAAACAGCCGTTCAACTTGAGGTTAAGCACGCTGCTTACTCCCGAGGGAAGAACGGTTCTCCTTTTTGGGGAAAGCGGGTACACTTTTTGGAAAGTAAGCGGCTCTATTTGTGTGGAGAAGCGAACGGATACTCCTCAAAAAGTATAACCATTCGACGTTTGCGGCGCTACTGCTGTGCTTTATAAAGGGAAAACAGCGCTTTCTTGCCAAATCAAACGGCTCTCTTTTTTTTTCTCTCCGTGTATAATATAAGAATCCATCAATTTCCAAATAAACTGTTCTACCCTTTTTAATTATTTGAGCCATTTTTTTGTCACAAAATATTATTTTATCACTGTAAATTTTAAATTTAATTTAAGAAAGAAAGAAAGAAAAAAATATTATTTATTTACTTCGAATTTGATGTAAGAACAATTTTTTATAGCAACTGAATTATAAAAGTGGAATTAGAAGAGTATTGGTTACCAGTTTTTTGTTTTATTTTTTTAAACAAATTTTCAAACAAATTTTGGAACAAATATTGGAAAAAATAACTTCTTGGAACTTTTGGTATTGGAACATTTTTTTTTGAACTTTTGACTCCCTACCTAAATTTCATTATCTTTAGAGTGGTGAATTTTAATTTTAAGTTTAGATTAGTTTTCATTGAAAAAAGTAACTTTCATACTTGAAAGTTTCAAGTTTACATATTTTTAAAGACCTTCGACCAATTAAAAAAGTTTTGAAAATGACAAAAAATATTTTAAACTATGTACATTATGTGTGTTAAAGGGTAGAATGGCAACTTTTATGGTTTAAAAATTCAAAATAATTTGTTACTTATGATAAAGAATTTAATAGTTGAAAATATAAATAAATTCAAAATATTGTATGTCACTTGTTTAAAATATTTAAAAATAATAATAATTTAATAAAATTAATCATAGTGTTTTACATTAAAAAAGATCAAATTCCGATTAATGGTTAGACGCTTTCGATAAACAAACAACAATGTTCACGGTAATGTTTATTCATTATTATAAGTTATAAATTATTTTGAATTTTTTAAACAATAAAAATTGCCATTCTGCCCTTTAGCACATATAATCTACATTCCTTAAAATATTTTTTTAAATATTTTAAAAAATTTTTAATTGGTCGAAGATCTTTAAAAATAAACTTGAAACTTTCGTTTCTATTTTTTTCAATGAAAACAAATCTAAATTTAAAATAAAAATTAACGAATCTAAAGATAATGAAATTTACTATAAAAATGTGACGCGACCCGAAGAAAGGTACCTAAGAAGCAAACGAATTATAGGTTGGGTTCGAGTTAGATTTATCTTGATTAAAAGTTCATTTTTAATTATTTGAATTTTAAACCAATATTAATTGAATATTTTCAATATAATGAAAACTTGAAAACCAACACGGAGAAAAAGGAATAGTTGACACATCCAGATACATGGATATCACAGCCATATTATATTGAAAAATACGGGATATCCATAGTTAAGGTTGCTGCATCCATATTCTATGGCTGGCTGTATATTGTTGGAGCAGCAAAAGATTTATGGTTGGGTGATCCATAGTAATGGAAATGGGAAACAAAAAATTGGAATCACTCAATTAATTAAATTCAATGTCACTTGAGATATTTTATACACATTTTTGTTAATTAATACACACCACTTATTGAATAATCGCATATTAACGAAATAAATTATCAACCGATGGAGGGAGGACACGAACCCTAGACCTAACGCATACCAAACACTAACGCTATCCACTACACTATACACACAACTACAATATTTGAGCATATAATATTCCTTATATACTCTACACATATTTCATGAAAATGAATTTAGATAAACACTAATAGACAATAACGATAATAAATAATAAACAATTATAACATTATTTATATATAGACGTGACAGGAAACCGACGCGACGGACAAGTTGAGACGACCATTTTTAAATGGATGCCATGATAATGAATTGCGCGCAACATGTATCGAAATTTTGAACTAACTATGGATCTCCCAACCAAAGTTTATATGGATGAGACAGCCATATGTGAAAATCCATAGCATGAATTGTAAGCCCAACCATGCCTATGGATGTCACATCCATATTTGATTCAACAATATAATATGGCTCCCTCATCCATTGAATATGGAATGTGCTTCCATTCTGAAAGTTGTCTCTTCCATTGAATTGGATAACACAACAATATTCTGCCCATTAGCCTGGGATTTTTCCGGCACGTGAGATAATCTGAGCGGGAGGTTTGACGTCGAAGTATAATGATGTGCACCGTCGATTATTGTCCGGTACACACCATTAGAATTCGACTGTCGATAAAACCGGTTGTACTCGGGAGAGGTTTTCTACAGTTTCCCTCTCCACTGGCGAGAAAACCCATTAGACGGGTGGTCCAGGCAAATGCGAGTACTCCTAACCTCAAAGTCGTTCTGTAGAAACGCAAAAACAAGTTGGTATATAAGAGAGTGTGTTCTGACAGTTGGCTAAGCCTGAAGTCATTTAAAAAAAAAAAAAAATTAATAATTGATTCTCTTTCTGTATTTTTACTCAAAAAATTTAAAACATAACCTCAAATTTTTTCCTTCTTAGGTACCTTTCTTGGGAACGCGTCACATAATGAAAAATAATTTTTTTCATTTAATTCATTTAATGGAAATAGCAGCAATTTAAAAATAGAGTTTTTTCTATCAGAAGTTTTGGGGTGTCCGCTTTGCGTAGAATGCCCCTAATATTGCATTACATGGGTGGGTTAATAGTTGTAGTAAAAGGGGCTATGTAGTTTATGGAAGACCCTTCAAAATTTTTTAAATTATATTATTATTATTTTACTACTTTTTTTATGTCGTACGCTTTAATTTAAAACTATAGTATAATCAGAATTGTGTGACCACTGAAAGAAATTTTTGAAAATTTCCAATTTTCAGATCTCAAATAGTATGAATTCTCGGATAACTTTTTTAAAATTATTCAAAATAATTCCGATTGGTTTAGAGAAGATGTTTAGGTAAAAAATTTTGAAAGGAATTTGTTGTAAATAGAAATAATTATATTTCAGAAGGTTTGGAATTGACATTTTTAAAAGTTTAATTCTTGTAGAAAAATAAATTTTGCTTTTATATGATAATAAAATATAAAAATAATTTGGTTGATTTGGATAAGCTTAAAAAATTTAATTTTCAATGTTTCATAAAAATTTAAGTTACTTCTGAAATTTTGAACATTTAAAAAAATAGTTTTAGTCTTATTCTTTTATGAATTTCATTAACTTTTAGGAAAAAAGAAGGGACAGATTTTAGTTTTCATACTTTTAATATTTTTAAGATGTTTTTTATCATTCATGAAGAAATATATGGTCGCCCAATTTTGATTTGGAACAAGTGATATCTATTTTAAACCTCTGTCGTTGCTAACTTGTCCTGACTTCAACAAATTCTGAACGTTCAAATGAACGGAATATTTTTTTTATTATAAATATTTTCAAAAATTATTCACTGAAATGAAAATAAGAAAATTAAGTCTTTAGGAACTTTAGGAATATACCAGGCGTCTAATCTGACGATTTCTGACAATAACGGACGTAGCAATAGCAGAGGGTTAAAAATAAGAATTCAGAAATACAAAATATAATATTTTATCCTTTGTAAGATAATTTAAGCAAAATGCAAAATAACATTTTTTTCTTCTTTTTGCAGGCATCTCATAATCGAACGACTATTACGACTTACACGTGTACAGTTTGCAATGAAGTGTTTACAGACAAATCGTCCTATAAGGCTCACCAAGCGAAACACTCGATTGACAAAACTTTTCACTGTGCAAAATGCAATAAGATTTTTTTCAAAGAATTTTCATTGATGACGCATCAATGTACTGTGAAACCATTATTTCATAAGAAAAATACAATTCCAAAGACTTTGCAAAGAAGCAATTCTGCCTTATTTAGTGGTTCTAAAAAATACAAGTGCTCGAAATGCAGTGCAACTTTTACCAATTCGCAGTCCAGAAATTCTCATATGAGAGTTCATTCAGAGGCTCACCTTTTGGTAAGATTAAGTCACTACAAGTACCAATACTTTGGTTACTTTTTACAATACCAATACATTTTAAAAAATCTAAAAACTTTAAAAAATATCTATAATAAAATTGATTTTAAACTCATTTTTTAGAATCAAGTTCGTAAGCAAGCATTGAAAAAAGAAGCAGGAAAAATGCCAAAACTTAAACCTGAAGCCAGCGCTTGTACTTCTGTGCCTCGTATCGAACAAAATACAGAGGTCCTTGAAGTTAATCCACCGGCACCAGTCAAAAGAACTCTCATTAAAACAGCTGGAGGGTGAGTTATTTTTAAAGAAGAATTGTTTTTACAACTTTTTAATCATTTTTAAATCCCCTAAAAATTATGTGCCTCTTGTTACTCCTTTCCATTATCTACCACAAGTTTTTTCTAAAACTTTTCACCATTTTTAAATTCTAAAACCTATTTCACCTATTTTCTCAATTTTTCAAATATTTTTAATAAAAAATTTACTCTAACTATTATCGATTTTAATCTTAATTTACTTTGAATTTAATTCATCAAAATGTTTAATCTTTTGAATTCCAATTCAATTCCAATTCAAATTTTAATTTATTCAAATTTTAATCCTTAATAATTTCAAATCCAATCATTTCAAATTTCAATTTATATTTTTTTATTTACTCATGAGCAATTCCATGGTAAGTGATCATAGAAATTTCCTTCTACTAAGGGATTTCAATGAAAATATGTTTAATTGTTCCCTTGAATGTAACTAAAAAAGTAGTGAAGGTTTTTTGGAAAAATATTCACAAACATAGTAGATATGCAACTTTGTAATTTTTTAACATTTTTTTTTAAAACCGCATAACTTTTTTCCAGCAAAAGATATTAAGGTCCACTTTTTTTTAAATTGTTAATAAAAAAGAACACTTTACGTTGAAAAATTTTTGAGAAAATTTTTATTCAATACTTAGTTGATATTAAAAAAAAAAAATTTTATTTTTGATTTTTGAAGAAACTCCATTTTTTTTGTGGTAATAGTATATACTCACCTCTAAGTCCTGTGTGAATTTCAAAATGGGATCTGCATAACTTTCTGAGAACAAAATAAAAATGTAGAATGCTATGGATCACAGTTTTTACTTTATATCATTTTAATACGGCTCAATTCCGAGAGCTTGCGGCAAATTCTCGTAATTGAGATTACTTCATAACGTTTGTGAATTCTTGTCATTTTATGGGGTTACTTGTAAGATATTGTTTTACAGTTTCTTTTCTCATTTGAAAATTATTTTGATTTTGATTTTCGTTGAATAATGAAAAAATTGTAACAAAAATGTTTTCAAGTGCTGTTAATTGTACAGAGCCATTTACAATCATGGATAAATAATCGTTTCTGATTTGTTAACTTTCCTGTCAAAAAATTTAACCTATTTAGTTACTGCTACCTCTAGCGCAAATTTCAAGCCCTACGACAATACATTTTTATTTTTTTCTCAGAAAGTTATGCAGATTCCATTTTGAAATTCACACAGGACTTAGAGGTGAGTATATACTATTACCACAAAAAAAATGAACCAAAAGAAAAATTGACTTTTTCAAAAATCGAAAATAAAATTTTTTTTTTAATATCAACTAAGTATTGAATAAAAATTTTCTCAAAAATTTTTCAACGTAAAGTGTTCTTGTTTATTAACAATTTAAAAAAAAGTGGACCTTAATATCTTTTGCTGGAAAAGAGTTATGCGGTTTTAAAAGAAAAATGTTAAAAAATTACAAAGTTGCATATCTACTATGTTTGTGAATATTTTTCCAAAAAACCTTCACTACTTTTTTAGTTACATTCAAGGGAACAATTAAACATATTTTCATTGAAATCCCTTACTAGAAGGAAATTTCTATGATCACTTACCATGGAATTGCTCTCATATTTTAGGAAAAATTTAACAAAATCTGATAAATCATTTTCTTTTATTTTCTAAAGCTGATTTTTGTGAATTATTATAATTCAACCTGGAAAACCTGGAAATGTCAGGGAATTTTATAAACCTTGAAAAAACCTGGAAAAGTCAGGGAATTTTAATCGGAATCCTAGAAAATTATTGTTTTCTAAAATTATTGTGCTTATTCTTGAAATCTAGTTTTTCTTAAATATATCAAAATTAATTCAATTTTAAAAGAGTTGCGTTTACAATTTTCATGAATAGATAAACTTCAATAGGTTTTAATTTGAAATTTTGTTAAATTTCAATTTTGATTGAATTAATTAAATAATACAAATTTCACAGGAATTCTATTATTTACAAAATCTTTATAAATTTCTTCGTAATAATTCAATTATTTTTATAAATATTTAAATTTTTTAAAGAGATTCAATTATTTTCATAAAATTAAATTATAATATTCAATATTAAATTAATTGGCTTTAGGATCCGTGAAAAAAGAAGTCAAAGAATTGATAGCGTGTGATTTATGATTTCGAAAATGTTCGTTACTGTGTGTGTGTGAGTGCGACGGTTTTTGGGCGATAAGTCCCCGCGAAGGGCAGTGCGATTTAGATCGAGTAACGAGAAACACGTATAGGTCGAGAGAGTTTATTAAGTGCGATTAATTCTAATGTTTATAAATTTTAGTTTAATTCATTTCTTAAATAAAGATTATTCTTTTAATTAACTAAGAGTGTCTTAACGAAAATAATTACCAGTTATTTTCTATAAACCTAACTTTACGAGATTCGCAATCCTTTTCCATGATCAAGTGAAGTAACTATTTAAAATACGGGATTTCTAACAGAATTTTCTTATTTCAGACGTTTCGGCATCAAATGTGTGCCATCATTAGTGACTTTATTGTTCTGGAAATGAAAAAGATACAAAAAGCCAATTAATTTAATATTGAATATTATATATTAAAGATCAATTAAAACATCAAAAATTAAATTATTTTCAAAAATTTTAATGAACCTTTTTTTAAAAATATTCAATTTTTTCAAAATAATGTTAATAAAATTCTACATAGAAATTTAATTAATTTCAATAATTTATAAAAATTCAATTATTTTCAATAGCTACTATTTCAATAAGATTTCACAAAAGAATTCAATTATTTAAAAAGAAATTTTAATAAAATTCGTCTCATTTCAAAAGTTATAAAATTCTTTGCAGAAATTCAATTATGGTCAAAAGTTTAAAAAAAAATTCTCTTCAAAATTTCAATTAATTTTATAAATAATAAATTTTTTTTTCAAAATTCAATTATTTTCAAAAGTTTTAATAAAATTTTGGGCAAAATTTCAATTATTTTCAAAAACATTTCTCAATTCAATCAAATTTTTTCTAGAGATTCAATTATTTTTAATACAATTTTAATTTAATTTCTCGAAAATTAAAATAATTCGTCAAAAGATTTTTAATTACCTATTTAACAATTTGGTGATAAAATTCTTTATGAGAGTTAAATTTTAAAAAACATTCAATTCTTCAATAAATTATTTATTTTTGTATTTAAATAATTGAATTCTCGTAAAATTTTCTAATAAAAATTGATTTCAATATGAATTTCAGTTAAAATTTTAGATAATAACATCAAAATATGTCATTGAATATTAAACTCTCTAAATTTGAATTAGTAAAAATGTTTTCTAATTGAATTAATGACTGCCTTGAAAATAATTTGAATAATTTTGATTATTTATTTTTTAATTATTTAATTATTATTTAATAATTTAAAATAATTTTGAAAATAATGAATGACTAACTGCTTTTGAATGAGCAGATTTTACTAATCAATAGCCGTTTCTACTAATTTTTTTAATAGTAAAATTTACTAATTCAAAAGCAAAAAGTCAGTCACTAATTCCAATTAGTAAACATTTTTACTAATTCAAATTTAGAGAGAAAGTATTATAGCGTAAATTTTTAGAAATACATAATTGTATCTTGGAAAGCTTTCAAATTATAATCATTAAATGTTTGAATTACTTCCTCATAGAGGAAGTATTGTAATACCAAAATTTTTCGAGTTCTATTTTTTGACATATCTTTATGTTATTTGACCTCAGGAGTTCAAAAATGACATTTTTAAAAAATGTCATTCCGTATGTGTGTGTGTGTGTGTAAACATCACATTTTCATATAAATATCTCGAAATCATGAAGAGCTTTTGGGTTGTAGATCTCACCTGCGGACATAAAGTGAGAGTACTTTCTGTTATATTAATAAAGTTTAACTAAATTTTTTTTTTGATTTTTAATTTTGCAAAAAAACGTTTTTTGCCCATAACTTTAAAAAAATGTTAGGACACCTATAAATGTTTTTCCATAATTTTGTAGAGTTTTTTTAGACGCATTTTTTGAGCCCTAATTGAACATTTTTCGTCCATATTAACCGGAGTTATTAAACTTTTAAAAATCAAAAATTTTGCAAAATAAGACTATTTTGAAAATTTTGTTGAAAAACGTAGAAGTAACTTTAAAATTATCGTTATCAACTTGCAGAGCATTAAAAAACGCTTCGATTGACCTATTTTTGAACCTAATTCGATAATAAATTTCGAAATTATTGGTATTTTAAAAACCAAAAATTGTGAAAAATGACATTTTCTCAACTTTTTTGTTTGAAAATTTTTATTTAACTATTAAATTATTGTAACTATCTTGTAGGGTATTAAAAAATACATTGATTGACTCAAAATTCAATCACTTTTACCATATTTATAAAAATTTATTCATATATTTCTATTATTTTTATCTCCATATATTTCCATATATTTCTATTATTTTTATCTCCATGAGGAAGTAAAGTGTTCATGAAATGAGCACCAAAATTATAAAAAAAATATACAACTTGGCAGCGGTTTTTTTCATACTTTTAACTGAAAATTGTGTAGATTTAATTTTTTTAAAAAAGTTTAATTGGATTTTTTTTAAGTTATTTTAAGTTTTTATTTTCTAATATATATTTAATTGAAGAATTGTAAACAAATAAATTTGAAATTTTTAAAAAATTTTTAAAAAATAATTCATTTAAAGAAGAATTTTTCTGTATCCCTTTGCCGAAAGTACTGTCTTCCCGGTCTGATTTGGCTCCGGAAATAGCGACTTTTGTGGCCGGCTCGACAGACCCAACGAGCGCTCTGATTGGTTACAAGAATTTCAACACACGTACATGTTAGCATAGCAACCACACAGACACGTTACTTACAGAGCTCACGTTTTGAAAACAACTGACAGTCATCAAAATAATGCATGAAATTTCTTATTTTCTTTTATTATTTTTTAATTATTAAATATATATTTGTAAAAGAAAATTTCTTATTGAGCTATTTTATTATTCAAACAATAATTATTTAACGTACTTTCGGCTGGGGATACAGAAAAATTGTATACGACACACGGCCAGAAATTTGGATACCCTAGCGAGCGTGATATATAAAGCCTCGGCCTTATATATCACGCCTGCCAGGAAATCCAACTTTCTGGCCTAGTATCGTAATATACTATTGGTTAAAAATTCTGGAAAACAATAATTGAATTGAAGTGATAAAAGTAATTTTGAATAAGTTACGGTAACAATATTCTTATAATATAAAATAATGATTTTATCAGTCGGTCATTTTTAATTATTATAAAACATGAAGATATCGATTGCTTCGAGTCAAAGACTCGGAGTGATCGATTTCTTCATGTTTTATAACAATTTTTTATAAGTTGTTTAATTTCAAAAAGGTTTGAATTTGAATCTTTTCAAGAATTTTAATTCCTATGGAAAAATAATAATTAAATATTTATTTAAAAAAGATAAATATAATAATGCAGAATACAGTATTATATGAAAGTTCCATGTATTTGTAAAAATTTATTGGAATTATTTAATTTTGTAAGATATAAATGTAGTTTTAAAAACCTGGCAAAATTCCGTTTTTTAACCAGGAAAACCTGGAAAAGTCAGGAAATTTGAAATGAGCAAAAGCGTGGCAACCCTGATTATATATTTAAGCTTTTCTTATTTCATTTTGTCGACGTAAACGTTGATAACTTTAGTTTCATATTTTGTTCCGATTCTTTGTTGGATTCTTCCATAAGTCAAAGTTGATTAAAAAAATATTTTTAAGTAAAAATTTGATTTAAATCATGATTAGAATGGAAACATGTCTTTGATTTAAATCACAACAGTAACGAAATCTTTAGTTGGTATAAATGTTTATGTATACTGATAATAATTGAGCCGCCGGATCGTAGAAGGGCACGTAAATTTTTCTCGTTCCTTAATTTGAGTCCCCTGAACACTCACAATTCAACTGCTGAATTTAAATATTTTAAATACACATCCTTATAGAAATAATAATAACAAAATTGTTATTAATTTTTTCCTTTATTAATGTAAAAATCATGAACTATAATCTTCACGGCTCTCGTTTAACAACACTCCCAAGCAACTATGGCGAGTGACGCGTGCTGTACGTTTTTGGTCGCTAGCAACTTTAAACATTCACCATTTCGACATTAATTATTTATTAGCCTTATGATTTTCCATAAAACTTTATTAGATCATAATGAACAACTTTCTCACTGGAAGTTCTCTGTTACTCAAAATTCGCCCGTTAAACGAGAGCCGTGAAGATTGTAGTTCATGATTTTTACATTAATAAAGAAAAAAATTAATAACAATTTTGTTTTTAAAGAAATCAACTTTTTTGTTTCATTGAAAAATGTTTTAAATTGTCTTCAAAACAACAGTTTTTCCCAAATATTTCGAAAACGGTAATAGATAGAAAAAAATTGCATAAGAAAAAAAGATGCGCAATGAAATTTTCTGTAAGGATGTGTATTTAAAATATTTAAATTTAGAAGTTGAATATTGAGTGTTCAGGAGACTTAGATTTCGCACGAGAAAAATTTACGTGTCCTTCTACGATCCGGCGGCTCAATTGCTGACTACAATAAAAGTAAAATTAAATAATTCGAAGGCAATATTATTCACAGGGTGTCTACTGGTTCTGGAAATGTCCTGGATTTTCAACTTTTGCCCTTGAATTTTCCATATTTTGCTTTTAAATATTCAATATCTTCAAAATTTTACTCAAACTTAAAAAAATAATTTTTTCGATCTACCCAAAAATAATTCCAATTTGTCGTTTTATTAAAGAAACAGGTACCTACCTACAATATAGATTTTTGACTTTTGATATGATAAAATGAATATTTTTGTTCAAGTAGTTTAATTTAAATTATGCTGGTCGTAATATAAAATAATATTATCCATTTCAATGTTCAGGAATTCTAAATCATATTTTCAGTAGACATCCTGTATTCTCTAAAAAAAAATTTAGAATTTTAAGAGAAATTCATAAATTTTGTTCATTTGACGGACATGAAAAATTGAGTTTCACAAAAAATAAAACTAAAAGTAAAAATGAATTTTACAGATATCGTTGTGGCGTGTGCCAATCACCGTTTGTGCTCCGTGAACTAGCTGTTGCACATCTTCGATCAGCTCATCCACTAATGCCATATCAGTGTCCTTATTGTAAGAAACGTTTCACAACACAGTACACGTTTACGCATCACATAAAAGCAGATCATCCTGATGAGTCAGAAAATTGAAAACAATATTCTATATATAAATATTTAATGTAATAGTGTCGCGTACACTATTTATTCTAATACAAATATGGCCTTACACGCTTTTCTATCGTCAATGTCGATAAAAGCAATTCTTAAGACCGAGGACTTGATAAATGTAAATAGACAAGATAAAGATGGAAATATGAAGAGATTATCGGTCTTTCAAATTAAATATATTGAGAGAATTGAATTCTTCTGGAAAACAGGTAAACAAAAATTTATTCACTAGCCACAAGTCAACATTGTAAATGTAAATGTTTTGTAGTTTTACAAATAATGTTCAAATTCAAAATGTAACATTAAAATTCTCTTTTTTTTACATTTCAGTCATAGACAATTAAATTATTTAATCATTAACTATAAAAACTTCAAGACTAAGTTCAAATCTGAAAGTTAAATTCTCTAACGTTATTTTTTAATGTCTTCTTCTTTTCTCATTAAAGCATTAAAATAAAATTTAACGATTTAAACTATATTCAGCACTATTGTCGATAAACTTTGAGTTACCAATATTTTCTTATAGAAACTTTGGGGTAATATTTGTCAATAAAAATACTAAAGAATAGTGATTAATAATTTTCAAGTTGTATTGAACATATAATAGATAATATTTATTTGAATTTTTTTCAATTGATTAGAAAGCCAAACGCAGTAAGAGGAAATATGTTAAAGAATATTAATTAATTTTACCTCGGTAAAATTCATAATAGACTTCGCAATTAATTATGTTCAAATTCGAAAGAGATTTTAATCTTTTTATAGTAAATATTATTGTTTTGAATATAAAATAATGAAGGGTGATTAAATAAATTTGAAATTTATTAATAAGAAACGTTGGAGTAACATTCAACGAATGTTACTACAATTGAAATTTACTGAATGTTTAAACTTTATAAGTTGAATTTCAAGAGTTATAATCTATATTTTATAAAAAATATAGTTTCAATTTTAAACGAAGAGATGATTTTCGATTTTAATAATTTTAAATTTTAAACAAAAAATGTAATTTATTTTTTTTATTTTTTGTACAGAAAAAGCATGGCAACCCTGAAGAATAAAATAATTTGCATTTTAGGTTTTTGATCCTAAATTATAAGAGGCTTATTATTTTCTATAATTCATGCAACATTCAATTTAAAATTAGGTAAATAGGAAAAATTTTTAATTAAATTTATTAGAAAAAGGAAAATAGCTGAATAGAAGAAAAGACTGTGAATCCTGCATAATATTTTTCTTGGGTTAAGCACAGATTTGTAAAAATATTAGTTATGAACATTTGAAACTTTAATTATACAATTCTAATTCTTATTTAAGTTTTTTATTTTCTATTCTATTTTTCAATAATATTTGCAGTTAAATTACAGTAACTAAAAACTTGTGCTATATTTAATGAAATGAAAATTTTTCACAATTAGTCCCGTTGTTTTTACTGTCAGTGATTAAATTATTTATATGCATGTTACACTCTATTAAAATATGTAAGTAAATTGAAAATTTTTTAATTACATAAGAAAGCAAAAAAGTACTTTCTTAGACTATAATATTTATGTTTAAATGAAAGTTACATAGGTAGTGTTTTTGTCGAATACAAAGTGTCTTAAGTCTTCAGTTCTTACATGTAGATTTAATATTTATAAATAATATTGCCTGATAAAGTATATTTTCCTACATGATCTTTGACTGACTTCTATATTCTTCCAAAAAATTAAAGAAAACAAAAGTGTCTTTGTTAACTGTCAAAAATACTTTATTGTATTATAAGATAACTGTAACTAACAAAACTTTAAAAGAGAAATATTAATGAAATTCTGTTTACAAAATTTTGAATAAAAATGTTTATTGATAATAATTTTATGAAATGTGGCTTATAGGAAATTAGACAAACTAAAAGTCAAAACGCTTGTTTAGATATTATTATACTGATAATATAAATATTGAGTATAAATAAGAAAATGTTTAAGTGTATATTATACAAAAAATAAGAATTATGAATCAAAATTTATATTTTGATTTTTATAATCTCATATTACCGATTTGAATGTAATTTTTCTGAATAAAAAAGGTTTACTAGTTCCAATAATTTTTTTTGAAATGTTAAAAGGTAATGATGAAATATTGTAAAAATATAATCCTTTCTTAAAAAAGACATGGAGTGGAAAGGTCGAATGTATCGAAAAGTATCGAAGTAAAGAATGGGCAATGAGAATGTAAAATCTTAATAGAAGGGTGTTTTTAAAATTGTTTGTACATGTGAAGGTGTCGCTGCAGTCGTATGTTATTTAAAAAGAGCGCGAATATATAAATTTTATTTTTGTTAAGAGAAAGTACTCATAATAAATCTTATTTTGCATTGTCAAAAAAAACGTCAATATTTCAAATATAAATAAGCAAATTATTAACTGAAAAAATTTGAATATTATTATTAATGAAATAATGGACTTGGACAATGGACATATAAAAACTAGCACCGTAGACGGCCGCTTGCGGCCGTCGGAGGAGCTAGTATATGGAAAAATCAAGATTTATTGAGACTTTACAAGAAGTAAAAAAATTCAATTATTTTATCGAATTTTTACAGATATTTGTTTTATTTAAAAAATGACTTTAATATAAACAATTTATTTTCAGCTTATAGTAAAAATTAATATTTTTTTTATTTTGTTCCATTAAAGATCGTTTGAATTTATTAAAAGACAAAAATGGACCAAATTTTATAATTTTTTTATTCATTCAGATTATTAAAAACATAGTGAATAAAAAATAAGATTTTCTAAATTATAGATATCTTTTTTATTTGTAAAGAATTTGACTTTATATTCAGATAAAATAATCCTCATTTTATGTTCAAGGGGAGGGTACACCGATATTTTAACAATATCAAGAAAATAATTTAAATATTCCACAATATTATTTTTGAGGTAATTTTTTGTGAGGAATTCCTCACATTCCCAATTTAAATTATTTTCTTGATACAATTAAAAGTACCCACCCCTTAGCATTATATTACTTTATTCTGAATGTATTTCTTTATTTCAAATTTTTACATTGTTCATAATTTTTCTTATGATAAAAAATGTTTATATTTCTACATGAAAAAATGATTGTAAAAATATTGTAAAAAAGATAATGAAACTCTTTTTTTTTTTAAAGAAATTAGAGTAATTTTTGTCTCCTACGGGTTTATATTTGAAAAATCAGAAAATTTCGAATAATCCATTTCAATGTTGAATTTACAAATTTCTAAAATTTTTCTTAGAAAAAAGAAATGGAAAAAAGAATTATTTTTTAATAAAGAAGATAAAAAATATAAAAATGGAAATATTTTTAAATTACAAATTTTGAATAAATAGTTAATGAGAAATGTTGTTATATGTATAAATTAAATAAAAATGACTTATAATTTTTATTGACCCTTGTTGTGCCTGTCGGGCACAACAATGCATTATTTTTAAAATTAATTAAAAAATACTTTATAAGAAAAAGATTCGTTATTTACTGATTTTAAAATTGTAACCGCTGCGTTAAAAGTTTACAACGCCCACTATCTTTAGTCATAATTCTTATCATTGTATAAAGAAAGTGTTGGAAAATTTATAAGCAAGCGTTAATACTAAAATGTTTCGACATAAATTATTTATAACATTAATTACATTAATCGTAATAACTTTGGAATAACACTATTGCCGCTTTCTATAACGACAGTTGAAATTTTTGAAGAATTCTTTTATGATTCTTTTATGAATGTTAATTCTGCAGTTTTTCTAGATTCAGTGTCGCTCTTATGCTTAGAAGTTCTTTATGTATACATATCAGGTGAATCTTTTAATTTGCAGTCATCTTCCACCTGTGATAAGCATGTTTTTTAAAATAGAAATTTGTTTTAATGTGTCATAAAAGAAAATATATAAGTATATAAAATGAAAAAAAATCTTGTACACATTTATGTTAAGAAGCGTGGATTTATTAAATGTTAATGAAGAGTATTGTTATCGTATAAGCCCAAAAATATTATACGCTACATTCAAATGCTTGTAAATAATGTTTGGTTTGATTTATTTCAGTGATTATTCAGTTTCATTCCATGAGTTTACTGTTAATAATTTGTTTTTAAAATATTATAGATAAATACAGATGAGATTAGGTAATAAAATTTTATTATCATAAAATTTGTGATTTATTTATTTATTTCCCTGGGAAAATTTATCTTATTTCATGTACAGAATGACTAAAACTTACTTACCTCAAAGATGCGTAAAAAATTTTCTACAAAAGTAAAGAAAAATATGCATGAATCACCAGTTTTTTTCTTATGGCATAAACAAGTGCCTTATTCAGGGCTCGAACTAGGTCCGTAAATCCCGTAAAAGTCCGTTTTTTTTAAAAAAGGTCCGTTTGTAAATTGTGCGATAATTTCAGAGAAATTACAAATGATTATGTTCAAAAATATTTCAAAATTCTCATCAAAATTTCAATTCCTGGAAAAAATTCTTAAAAATTTTGTTAAAATTCGTCAACCGAATTTAGTTATTTAAAAATTTATAGATAAAATTCTTTATGAGAATTCAATTCTAAGAAACATGCAATTATTCAATAAATTGTTATTTTTGTATATAAATAATTGAATACTAGTAGAATTTTCTCATAAACATTGATTTCAAAATGGATTTCAGTTAAACTTTTAGATTATAATTGAATTTTAAAAGCATTAGAGAGTAAATTTTTAGAAATAATTGGATCTTCAAAAGGTTTCAGATTAAAATCTTTGGAAATTTGAATTTTTCATATTTTTAACTAACAATTCTGTGGAATTAATTCTTTTTTGTGAAACTTTAATTGCGGATTTTTTTAATATTATTTTAAGTTTTTATTTTTTAATATGAATTTAATTGAAAAATTTACGATTAATTAAAATTTTGTAAAATTGAATTGTAAACAAATGAATTTGAAAATTCTTAAAATACTTTTTCAAAAATTATTAAAAATAATGGATTTATAGAAGATGTTTAGCTAAAAACACGAAAAAAAAATTCAATTTTGTAAAAGTTACAAATTATTGCAAAAATTAAATTATTATCAAAAGTAGAGAATATTATTATATTCTTCGCAAAAATTAAATATTGTTCAAAAGTAATAAAATTCTTCTTAGGGATCTTAGGGATTCAAATTCCTCCAAAAATGTAATTATTCTTAAAAATTTTAATAAAATTCTTCAACATAATTTAATTATTTAAATATTTGTTGATAAAATTCTTTATGAGAATTCAATTTTAAGAAACATTCAGTTATTCAATAAATTATTTATTTTTTTAAATAATTAAA